GGGCCCTCGTCTGTGGGGAAGGGGTGATATTTTCTGACACCAGAGGTGAAAGCAGGCACAGATAGCTGTGCATAGCACTTGTCTCCTAAGCTTAGTGTGGGATTGTAGCATCTCCAGCTTCTATACCTACTGCTACAAAGTGGGAGGCTGAGTGCAGACAGGAGACGAAAAAAATGTCTTGGCTGTGCCTTTGAGCCCCTTCACCTCTCACATCAAACTTGAATTCAGTTTGTGCCTATTGCTGGTCAACTGAAAGTTGGCTTTTTTGGAATAGGGGCATTCTAGAGCTGATGGTAGTGAGTGTATAAAGGGGTTTGGGAGCTCCTTGGGCAGGAGGTGCTTGCTTGCAGGACACTTTGGAAAGGCATAAATAACACGGATTTTTGCAGGACCTTCAGTGAAGAGCAGTTGCCTACATACTACGCTCTGAAATACACTGATGCAATGTGATGGTTCTTGCAGTAATGCAGCGTCTTGGTGTATTGGTGGAGGATTGAATCTCTGCGGCCTTCAAGAGTGAGGCTTAAGGGTGGAGATCTTGTCTGTCATTGTTGTTCGTGTGGTCTCTGTGCAATACTTCGTTGTGAACAATCTTCTTTGAGGAGCACGAAGCAACAAAGTTTGTGTTTTGTTTTGAAATGAAGCTCTACCTGCTTCCATTATATAGGGGTTACTTTTGTAAATGGTTAATTTTGTAAATGCCTTTCACACTAATACCTTAGTAAATCACTGGACAAGAAGTTGCGTACTTGTAGCTTAAAAAAGGTAGATATTGGTAAAATTTACACAAGGCTTTAGCCTTTTGTACTACTGCTGTCTTTGAAAGGAGGCTAGTTACTTAAAAGGATTGGTTGTTTGGTGTGATATGTAAACTCTGTTCTCAGGTTTGGATGTGGGCAAGCTCTACTTCATGTTGGCCAAGCGCAGGGTATCTTGCTCCTTGTCGATGTTGGCTTTAGGATTCTGGATGCATTTGTAATAGGCTTGACTATTCCATAGCAAAAATGCTATTGGTTTAGCTTTTTTCTTACAGCTTGTTGAAAAGTCCGGAAAATAGAAGAATCCATAACTGAAAATACTTTTCCAATACTCCAGGTTGAGGTGGAGGCGCTGCTTACCAAACCAGCGGAAAACGTCTGCCCTTTGGGGCAGAGTTAGTTGTTTTTATCTTGGTGAGCTAAACCAGTGCGTGGCGTGGTCAGGCAAGGGCTGGAGCTGGCACAAAGGAGGTGCAGGGCTCTTTAGCTGGCATGGATGGATGGACTACCATTCCTGTTGCCAGCTGAGATCTCTAACTTGTTGATTTGCAAGTTGTTGCCTAGTGATGGGGTTTAGATCAATCATTGGAAGATGAAAACATTGGCTTTGGGGAAGCAAGACGTCTGTGTCTGATTTCAAATCCTGCTGCTTGTGACTTGGAGGACTAAGTACTTGTTTACTCCATCCTTTTACCCTTGGTAAATTATGGGGTTCTTCCTGAGAGCTTGTGAATATTCAGCACCTGAATAATGACGTGTTTTTACCTCAAAACCTGTGCCATTAAATACAGACCCAAAGAGAAGGTAACATCTCTAGTTTTGGGTAGGCTCTTGCTGACTCTAAACTTTGAAGCTCTTTTGGGGCTTATTAGTAAATAAGCCCCAAAAAACCTTTTTCAAGCTTCAGATGCTTCAAGATAAAGCATCAACATAACATTAATTGTATTTGAATTATGGAGACGTTCTCTACCCTCTTCAGCCCTGTCTAAATTTGGAAGTATATTCAGTTTTTACACTCCAAAGTTCTCCTGCCTTTGGTATTCTCAGAGTCTTTTCTCACTTATATCAGCGCCTCTCATGATTTACACTTACCCACCCAATTACTTTCCAGTTTTAAGAAGGGCGCAAACGATTTCTGGAACAATAGAGTCGGGGATTGTCTAGCTCTTGCTCTGCTCAGGTAGGTCATGTCTTGAAACGACAGAGCCAACACAGCCTACGTTTGTTACTTCAGCACTTGATGAAAAATCCAAACAGGTACAGGCTGCCTCTCAAACAACAGAGGAACAATTTTGCAGGATAACTGCATTCATTTCCCTGCCAACCTTGGCATTCTGCATGCTGGCTTATTAAAAGCAGGTCCATACCAAGAAAAAAACCACATAAGTATTTGAATACATTAAGGTTGGGTCAATAAAAAGAACAAAACGCACTTGTTCAGCACTGTAACTTTGCCTAGAAGTATTGTTCTGAAAGTAACGTGAACTGTGATAAAATCCAGCCAATTCAAAGCTAGGACAGAAGGTGCATGAAGAAAATAAAGTCATTCAGAATACAAATTCTTCCCTAGGAATCAAAAAAAGTCCACCAAAACCCGCCTTTCTTCTCCAAGCATAAATTGCATAATTAGTAACAAAATAGTATCCAAAAAGAATATGTAATGCACATAGCTCCCTGAGATCTTTCGTTTCTTTAACTAAAAAGAGAACTTACGGTCCACATACTCCCAGTCCTTATGGCAAAGCCTTTCTTACTTGCTTCAGGGGAAAGGGAAAACCCACCCACTTCCCGCAGACAGTTTTAGAGTTAACAAAAGCCTACCCCAAACCAGAGAGGCTACCTTCTCTTTGGGCCTGTATTTCATGGCACAGGGTTTGAGGTAAGAGCACATCATTATTCAGGTGCTGAATATTTATGGCCGTGTTCTGCCTATGCAGTCTCTTCTGTTGTTAGCTCTGTGTATGCTGTATTTCTGATTAGAAGTTGTAATCAAAATTTGTACAGACAGGAACTTGAATGAAAAGCTCTAAAAGCGAATGTGTTTCATATCCAGAATTAAAAATGTCACATTGCTGTGTCACCGGATCTAGAGCTGTCACGAATACTGTGCTGAGCCATTTTGGGAGGATGCTTCAAGTGTGTGGTGTTCCCCAGCTGATCACACTCCTCCTGGGGGTTCTACAAGCTCATCTCTCTTATTCGTGATGTTAAAACGAAACACAAAAAAGGAGGGAGGGGGCATTTTATTGAAATGCTTGGTTTGAGAGGTCCTGTTAACCTCTAAGGTAGATTTGGTAGATCATGGGTAGGTAAGGATAGTGATAAGTAAACTTCAGAATGAGGGAGTGTGTTTGATAGGGGATACACTATTTTTTTTTTTAATCTCCTTCGTTAATAACATCACAGACTTTTCTAACTTTTCACTCACAATAATGCCATCTCTGACTCTTCACTTCATTTGGTGGAAGCTGATTACTGTCAAATTTGGTAGCTTTCTCCAGTTTTGCCTCTGAAAGAACATATGGGAGCAATGTATTAAATTAAAAAAGAAAAAAGCTTGGGGGAGGAGGTGGCAGAGGTAAGCAGGTGTACTCAGAAACAGCTTGGCACTCTCTGTTTCAGTAAAAGTGTTGGCATGCTTAATGGCAAGGAAGAAAAGGCCTCTGCATTTCAGCATTTGTCAGAAGTCCAAGTTTCAGTACTAACAAACGGCTCAGATGAAAGGAAAGTAGCTCTGCTAGCAGAGATGACTGTGGTCCAGTTTGTGTGCTTTATCTCGCTTTCAAGCTAATTTCACAGGATATTGTAATACTCGATCACATCTCGCTGGATTACAGCATGGGCTGCTGTCCTGCTCTTAGCTTGCTAACTTGTCTCTAATGTTTAGTGGTAAACCCTGGATAAATTTTCTGTTCTTGGAGGTAAAGTTTCTCGCAGCAAACCTTTCCCCGCTGGCGGAGGAGGCTGAAGGCAGTTTGTGGCAGGCCCTGAGCGCGGCAGTGTGTAGCTTGTCCTTGTCCCTGGACAGCTTTCTGCCAGCACAGCTCCTTTTGTGCAGTTGCTTCCCGAATTTTGCCACAAGTTTGTATCTCGAGGCAACTCCATTTGTGTAGCTGGGACTCCAGCCAGATGCCGTAAATGTTTATACAATAACAGCGAATGAAAATGCCTTTACATTCTGCACAGCCTGCAGATGCCTGTGTATTGTGGGGATTTTTTTTTTGTGGGGGGTGTGTGTTAGATTCCACCTTTCCCTTTGGAGATGTTTATCTTGGGTTGAAGACCAACTTGGCACGTCTCTTCTGATGTTGGCATTTTTGTGTCAACGTGAGCCGTGGACAAAGCATGAGGTGTGTGTGAGTTGGGGAGGCTGCACACTAACAGTGCTGCTCTGTGCCCTTGAGAGCTCCGAGAAGGACTGTGACTACATATTTTCACAAAAATGTTAGCTGATTTTTTTTTTTTGATTGATGCATGTTGTAATTTAGCCAGCCAAATCTAGGCTATGAAGCAACCCTATCCGAAAACGTATGCTTGAAAGATGCTTAACATTCCTTATAGGCTGTATAGCCATAAGTGAAGTAGCTTTATGCTAGCTGAGAGGAATACTTGGGACAGCATGGGCATCAAACATCGAATGTTAATGCAGGGAGGGTTACCTAGTCCGTAGCTGCCTGTGTTCCTGCAGTGCATGGTACTAAAAATCTGCAATACTTCTAACGTGGCTAAAAATTATCCCGACTGGCTTCACCGTAGGAGTGTGTGCTGCTGTCGTGCCTCTGCCCTGAGGTATGGATCTGGTGGTGGAGGGATAGGCTGTAGGTGTCTGGTTTTTCCAATCCTGAGTACTGAAGGTTTGCTAAACTGTGCTGCTGCCATTTGTGTGAACAGACTGGTTTCCAGTATCGCAGTCTCTGCTCCAGTTGTGGTGGTTGCCTGCTGAGATCCTGTCAGGCACAAAATGCTGGTTGCCGGCTTGTGTGATTCGGCAATCAAGGGCAGTAATAGAGGAAAATACTTTAATGAGAGCCCTGTGCTGTATCACACAAGTTTGATAGCAATGCTCTGGATAGGAAAAGTGATCTCAAGTTTAAAGAACAGGCTTAGGAGATTCTGAAGAGGCTGCTTCTACATGAAGAGGTGTAATATTTTGGTTTTCTTCTCCTGTCTGTTGCAGTGGACTGATTAGAGTTCATGAACATAAA